AGGGAACAACAAATCTGCCCGGAGGAATCTGACGTCAAAACGGCAGGAAGCCTACGATTCGCCAACCACATGGGGGTTGGGAAGGGGGAGGGGGAGGGAAACTTAAATTGATTTCCAGTTTCAAACACCATGCGGCGAAATCCACGCCCGTCTGGGCATGGGCAACTCGGCAGAGACATGGAGGGCACGGGAAATGCGAAATGGAGGATTTCACCGTTCGTGGGGCTGATGCAGGTCTTTTGACTTTTCCCCGGGGCAGGGGGGGGATGCGTGCTACGTTTTCCATTGATAACCCGGTTTGTCATGTAGGTGTTGGGTGCGTTGTGCTGCGAGCCCCCCCCCCCCGTTGTAGATGGCTTGCTTTCGAGGTTCCGGATGCGTCTGGTACCTAGTTATTAGGTGCTGGATGGCTAGCTGGAAGTGGTACTTGGCAATGAATTGCGGCGTACCAAGAGCAAGCTGCCTGGTGCTCTTGGTGGTGCCGGGGTTGCGTGATGCTTGGGGGAACGGGAGTCCCCCCCATCGTGACATGTCCCAAGGGAGTTTCTTTGCAGCGGGATGGAGAGACGAGCGTCAAGAGGTCATGTGTGGGCGCGCAGAGGATAGACTCGTGCGTGCATGTCTTGTTGAACTGCGTCTTCCTCGTACCAGACATGGGACGTCTTGCTCGTCACTCACGATATACTACTGCAACACTCGACACGGCTACTCATCTACTACTCTCCATGGCGGGTGCAAATACAAATACATTCCGTCAAGCCTAAACTTGGATATACACGATGCCCGTCGTAGTCCACAATTGCTACTCATCTCCCCACCCGTATCCTCTGATAGATGCCAAAACGGGGAGCAAAAAAACACCCAGGCGCAAGCGCAAATGTTTCCCCCTTATCTTGCTTCCAGACGCCCAAAACTCCGTCCTCCGCCCTTTCCATAAAAATAAGCCCCGTCTTCTCAGCACCGGTTAGAAGAGACGATGGAACAAGACGTGGCGCGAAACCACAGTCAAATTGCTCAGCTCGTACTCTGATAGCTGCCCTTTGCCACCCATAGTTTGCCCCATTATACACGTTCAAACCACGACTCCAAATCCATAAAATCATGGTCAAACCCAAAGTTGCCCGAAGGCCTGCAAAAAGCCTTCTCAAGTGCCACGTAATCATAGTCGTTCCTTGCAAGCAACCTCTCCTTGACGGAAAGAAGCACCAATTACACCATGAAAGTAATGGCAGTCAATGCGTATAAACAATGCCACATGCTTCTTCTCCTGTGCCGTACTTTTGTTTTCTTGCATGACACAAGTCTCTCTTGTGCAAATGCTCCAATATAATAACAGCAAAGAAAACCACTCGTTCGCCCATGCATCTCGGCTAAAAGCCTGCCTTTCCTGTAATTCGCCGTGACAATTGCAGATTGGTCGTTTCTTGTGTTACAAATGCCTCATGAGAAATATCTTTGTGCATATTTTTTTTTCAACTAGATGTGCTTTTCTTTTAGTTCAATCTCATGTTGACTCGTCCTTCACATGTTGGAAACGCCTTGCGAGTTGTCCACGACGTTATCAGACAAATTGATAAGGAGCTGAGCAAGGCATCTCTTCGTCGCAGCGTCGTCTCTTAAAACAGACGAGAAGGTAGCATCTCGCAGGGGTTCTGGTAGGCATTGGCGAAGAGCTTCACGAGCTCGGGCGTTGTCGCTCAGTCTACATTCACGCCACAATTAGTCAACAGAAAATTTTGTCTATGTTGGTGATCTTTTGCGCCACTCACCTAAGGAAGCATCGAACGACGTGCTTGAGGAGCCGCTGAGTCTGGGACTCGACAAGCTGAGCGACCATGTTGCTCAGCACAGTGCCTACAGCATAGAAGCGCTCATAGGTGGCGCAGATATAATTGAGGCCGTTATCGTCCAGCAGAATCTTCTGAACAATAAAAATGGCAACAGTCTTACTAAGCTCTGAGCCAGTCTCCATGATCCGAAGGCACAGAGGAATAATCTCCGTAGTGAGGAGAAAATTGATAACGTCCGAAGAGTCGTTCTTCACCAAGGCACCGATAACACCCAGGGAAGTTAGTCGCAGATATTCAAACGGTCGGGACTTGGACGTCGTATTTAGAAATGGGTACAAGAACAGAGGGATATGTGCTACAGTCCGCCTTATTAGCTTCATTATTCAACACTGTGGCCCTCTTGGCAGCGGTGAACTGACCGTTAAGAAACAAGGTCCGGGTATCATTATGCGACGCAACACACTGGAGTAGCGCCAGAGCATTGCAAACACGGTTTGACGCAATAGCTGTGAGCTGCGAAGGGTTGAGCAGGGTGTAGACGGAAATTATTTCCTGTAAAAGAGAGGTCATAACTCCTAAAACAACCAAATCCGTTAGCGTAAACTATCCTTTTTGCCAACGGGCATCCAACTTTTCAGCCGTGGACAAATGCTCACCGAATGAGTGCCACAAAATGAGAGCTAGTTCAGGCACCTGTTCTCTCTTCTTGCTCAGCTCTAGTAAAGCTGCCTCCCTCGTGTTCTCGTTTAATAAATCGGCGATGTACGCCATCGTGCGCCGATTATCTTCCGAGATGTTCTCGTGGCCGGAATCCTGGGCATGAGCACCTCCCATATTGCCACCAGCGCCGCCAGCAGAATGATTACCAGCCATGCGGTTGAAATGCGATTGTTGTTGCTGAGCCTGTTGTTGTTGCTGCTGTTGCTGCTGTTGCTGCTGCTGCTGCTGTTGCTGCTGCTGCTGCTGTTGTTGTTGTTGTTGTTGTTGAGCAACAGACACATGGCTCTGCTGGTGGTGCGAAGCCTGCTGGTGCATCCAGCTGGAGTCGCCTTGTGGGTTGTATTGGGGGTGCGTATAAACGTGCGTCGAAGACATCATCTTGGGCAAGAAGGCGGAGTTGAGACGGGTATGTGTTTTCAATTCAATCGCTCGCTTCGGAATGGGGTCGAAAAAATGCCGGATATCGCGCGTAGAGTTATCGGGTCAGGAAGCCCGGGGGGCCAGAGCTTACTGCGGCACCAGAGATATGTGCTTGTGCTGCTGCTGCTGCTGTTGTTGTTGTTGTTGTTGTTGAGCAACAGACACATGGCTCTGCTGGTGGTGCGAAGCCTGCTGGTGCATCCAGCTGGAGTCGCCTTGTGGGTTGTATTGGGGGTGCGTATAAACGTGCGTCGAAGACATCATCTTGGGCAAGAAGGCGGAGTTGAGACGGGTATGTGTTTTCAATTCAATCTCTCGCTTCGGAATGGGGTCGAAAAAATGCCGGATATCGCGCGTAGAGTTATCGGGTCAGGAAGCCCGGGGGGCCAGAGCTTACTGCGGCACCAGAGATATGATAGCGCTTGAAGCGACTTTGTAGAGGCTCGGAAAAGGTGTCGTTCAAGACGAGCCCGCTGGTCTCACGCAGACAGGTTTGTGTGTTGTGGGCGGAAAGGCGCGAGAGCTATTTGCTGAGACCAGCAAGAGGGCGAAGGCAGCTCGATGGGCGTCTGAGTCGTGCAACAGGTTGCACAGTGGGGAGACACAGAAATAGGTGAAAGGGCAGGAGAGTAACGAGTCGCTATGCGAATGCAGATGCGACAATAGGCTCGGCAGGCTCTTGGAGACGTCGTGGTTGTCGAAGGGTTGCCGTGAGGTGGTGGTGTCTTCGTGCTCGGACTGCGCCCGCTCCACCGCCTTGAGTCTTTTGACCTGGTTGAGGCTCCGCTTGATGGCCGAGCCGATTGAGCAGTACGAGCCGCGAGCAAAAGCCGTTCCTGCCTGGCGCCTGCCCGACACCTGCCCTCCCGTGCACGGGTCAGGAAGAACTGCCGTCCCTGGCCAATCAACAGTCAGATCTGGAGAAATCTTGCTCAGCCTCGCTGCGTTCCTCACCCTGACGCAGCCCAATGCAGGCCGTGCATTCTGAGCTTCTGACAGCACGAGCATATTGGCGCCGTCTTGTGCTTCGACCAGCCAAGAGTCAAAACACCAAAATGCATGATGGAGACTTATGAGCTGTCGAGTGACTTCGGAGCGGGCTCCATGTGCTACTGTCCACCCCGTAGAAGTTACCAAGCTACCCTATACTTTGGACTGCCTCGGCCCGAGCTCGATTTCTGCATCACCCACGAGGATTTGTAGTAGCCAACAGTTGAAAGAGTCCTATCATTTTTCCTTTGCATGTTGGACCATGCATTGCGGGTTTACCAGCCAATATCATTGACAGTCTTTCCTGTCCACGGAGCCGGGCAACCAACCGCCGTTCATCCTCCAACTCAACCATCATACATATCCATACCAAGGTACACTCAACTGGGACACAAGTTCATACCAGCAACTAGTCAACTGCTGTGTCATTACCTATGTTTCTGCCTCTCCTATTTGACTACCATATATGCTATCTGAATAAAACCTGCAACCCAAAAATCCCACCCAAGAACCCGTCTAGCTCTAGGGTGCCAAAAAAATGCTCTCACTCCAAATGTTGTCTAGAGTGCTCTCAGAATCCTGTCATTCAACGGAGAAGGCGGAAGGGAGTAAAGAATATTACACAATGAATTGTTTGAAACGCTCGATATGCCCTTATACAGACATGATGCTTGTATTGCTGTTTGTGCATGATTTTGCTGCTCGGCACCACGGTATCATGGCCCACATGAAATAGAACCTGTGTCTGGCACCCAAGCCAATACTCATAGGCTCGGCGTCTTCACTCGTCCCTTTATCAAGCCGTGAGAAGCAACATAACAGAACAGTGATTTGTGTGCTCAGCATACTTGCATTCCCCCCCAATCAATGAACGCCCGAATGGTGCGACATAATCATCATCTCAGTTCGGAGATAGTGCTTGTCGCTTCTGGATGCGACTTTGGGGCATCTAAAGCCGCAGGTCTCGTAGTATCTGGTCTGCCATGTTCTTGAACTGCCACGTGTTGCCTGTCATCCGCTTGAACTGGATTCCATGCAGTGACAGGAGAGGTACTTTGACAATGAAGATTTCAAATTCCAAGACCATGCTCTCGCCAAGGTCACTTTGAACTTGGGTGCTCGTTTCGCCTGGTGCTCGCCTCGTAGTGCCGCCATTTCGTCGAGGGATGCTATCCACCGACGTCTCCGAGTTGGAGTAGCTGCGGTCGCGATCAGAACGATCCCGATCAGAGCGGTCTCTCTCTCGATCTGGTCGATCACGGTCTGGCCGGCCGGGAGTTCGAGGAGTCGGGGGTTGGCGTTGTTCTCGGTCCAGCTCTCGAATCTCTTCTCGATCATCGTTTCGCATTAAGCCACCGAAGCTGAAGCGACGTCGATGGCCCGGGGTCTGACCAGGGCTGGTTGGGGGGTCATGTACCTTGTTCAAATCGATGCTTGGAGTGTGTCGGCAGGAAAAGCCTCCCTTGATCTCTGTGAATTCAACGTTCAATTGCCTGAGAACGCGCTTAATATCCGCTCGGATCGCCGGTACGGATTTGCCAGATGTTGTTGATACACTGAATAACCCCTTCAGGAACACGGGCTTGGCCAATTCGGCGCTGTCAAGTCGATCCGTAGACACGCCACTTTGATCTGGTTCGAAGTCTGCCTCCTCGGGCACGTCAGCTTCCTGAAGTCCTTCGCGTCTCAGGCGACGACGTTGGATGCTCTCTCGACGGGCATGACCCAATGATTTAGTCCGCATAGAGGCCGATCTGGAGTGAGCCTGGACTCTCTGAGATGTCCCTGACTGATCATTTGACACAGACTGTTCAGAGCCACTGGTAGCAGCGGCCTCCTTGGGTAATCTACCGCCCTGACGACGACGCATTTCCGCTGAATTAACACTAGTAGACCGTCCTAAACCTGATCTTCGACTGTCCCTCGTGCCATGAGCAGACATTGGGGGGCTGAGTAGCGCACTGTGCTGAGGCTGGCTGCTTCCTGAGCGAATCGGCGGGACTGGTGGTTCATCACGGTCCCGCCTACCGCGGCGAATGCTGAAGCTCTTCTTGGGAGTTGCCGGCGATGGTGCTGGATCGGACGGAGAGTGAACTTGCACCATGGGGGGATGAGAACGATCCTTGTCCAGTCTCTCAGGTTCTCGGCGCTTCCGAGTGCTGAACCTTCGAAGCAGTCCCGCCGCAGTGCCCTCCTTCTTTTGCAGCTGTTCAACCTTGGTTTCTGGCGCAGGAGGAGGTGGTGGATGCCCATGCGGTCTCGCTGACTCTGGTGCATCGTCTTCGCCATGAGTGCGGGCACGGGGCCTTGTCCGTCCCCCAGTGGGCCTTTCGCCAGGCATCTCATATGCAGTTGCATTGGTATGAGCTGCCTGAGGAGGCGCAAGCTCTGGCATAGTGTCGGCACCCTTTTCACGTTCTCGATAATCTCGATCTCGATGATCTCGATCCCTCTCCCTCTCCCTCTCCCTCTCCCGTTCCCGAGTTCTCTCCTTGTCCTTCTCCCTCTCTTTATCTTTCTCATGTGGGCTGCTTGACGTGACAGGGACTTGCTGAGATGGCTCACGGTCTTGCTTCTCCTTGACAAGATAATATATAGAGAGGAGCGGACTAAATGCGTAAAGAGGATCGTGACCTAGTTGCAAGGTATCGCTGCTCGGACCCGTCAAAGTGTCTCTGCTATTGGAAGAATTTCGTCTCTTGTAGAAATCGAACCCAAAGCCTCTCTTCTTCTCGGCGTCTTTGGCAGGAGGAGGAGCCTCTCGTTCTCGTTGATACATCTTGACAGCATGTTGGTAGTCCTCGGAGTCAATAATTTTGCTTAGTTGAGCCCGTATAGTTTCAGGAGACCCAAAGTTGAATCCTTGCATGGCGTGGATAACGTCCGGATCCAAGGGATGAATTAGTGGTTCACGGACAGGGAGGTAGTTGTCGGGAGGTCCATTGAAGCCCTTTGTCATCCAAGGATGGTTCATGACTTCTTGCATTGTAGCGCGTTGCTTGGGATCGGTCACCAGCATGCGGGACATGAGATGTTTACATTCTAGGAAAGAGTCAGCAAATTTGACAACCTTGCTGGACATGCCGTAAGGCACGTTCCCATCTATACGTATATAGGTATACATGGGACATGAGTAATCACTTACCGCTCGAAAGCCAGCTAGGGTAATCTACCAAACCCTTTTTAATTTTGGCATGGAGAGCTGGCATGCTCTGGTCGTCGAATGGCACCTTACCACAGACGAGGACGTAAAGCACAATGCCAAAGCTCCATACATCAACCTCTGGACCTGTGTATGCTCTAGCCTGCAAGAGCTCAGGAGCAGCAAAATAAAGACTTCCGCAAAAGGTCTTTAGGTGGCCTCGAGGTGAGAAGAGATTGCTGAGACCGAAATCAATGATTTTGATGTCACCAGTTTTACTAATTAATATGTTTTCAATTTTGAGGTCGCGATGTACGATGCTATTTCGGTGGCAGTAGTCCAGTGCACTGGCGATTTGGCGACTGAACTTTCGAGCTTGTTTTTCCTTGAGCTTGCCGTGCGAGATGATGTAGTCGAGCATCTGGCCGCCATTGACATACTCGAACAGCATGTACCAGTGGTAGTTGGTGCGGACGACATCTCTCATGCCGCAAATGTGGGGATGATTCAGGAGGGTGACAAGAGCAGCTTCGCGGGCGGTTCGAATCTCCTTGGACTGGTCGGCTCGCTCCTTGTCTGCACGACTCTGATGTTCCTCGGTCGAGCCGCGAGGGACTATTTTGCAAGCAACCTGTAAAGCGGGCAAAACAAAGGGGTTAGAGCATTGCAATCCAAGAGGGGGCGGTTGGTGGATGCCCAACCGGGCGCATCCCACGACAAGGCGAGACATCCGAGGAACATTTATTCGGGGAGGGGCAGACGGATGAGGAAACAAATAGACAACATGGACGACATGGAAACTATTATGGGAAAAAGGGGGGACGTCATGACGAACCTGTTCGCTGCCATCTTCCTTGCGGGCAAGCTTGACTTTGCCCATGCTGCCCGCGCCGATAGTCTTGCCAAGAATCCATTTCCCCGATTGGGTGGGAATAGTAGTGCGTGATCGGGTCTGTTTGCTGGCAGAGTGTGACTGATGATGAGGGTCGGAGGCGCCATGGGAGGAAGGGGGAGCAGAAGGACTGCCATTGTTTGTAGCGACGGCGGAGGGAGCCATGTCGCTCGAGTGATGGGGTTGGTGATGGTGTCGTTGGGAGGAGGAGCGCGTGCTGGCCTGGCGAGCTATGGATCGGGCAGCAGCTTGGGACGAGGAAACGGAAGGGGACTCGGTGGCGGCGACAGCGCCCCTTGTCGTGGATGGAAGCGACGTGCGATCTCTGCTGGAGCTGCGCTTTGAATGAGAATTGGATGCTAGGTGTGAAGTCTCATAGTCATGATGGGGGAGAATATCCTGGACAGGGCGCGAGGACGCAGTGGGCGACGAAGACGCGTGACGGTGATGATGATGGCGCTGGTGTTGGAGATGCAGCTGCGGGTGGTGGTGGCTCAGGTGCTGCTGGGGGCCGGTGGGGCGGGCAGCAACAGCGACAGTAGCAGCAGCAGTAGCAACGGCAGCAGCAGTGGCAGCGCTCTGGTGGCTGGTGCTGTTGGTATTGGGGGCACGCTGGAGACTGTGACGCGGGCTCTGGTTCTTGGCCTGCCTTTGATTCTGGACGTGGCTCCGCGAGTTGGAGTTGGAGTTGGACCTGGACCTGGACCTGGACGAGGACCTGGAGGCGACGGGAGTGTTGGGCGCTGTGGAGTCTGAGCTGGAGGCCGACTTTGGCAGCGAGCAAGCGGCGAAAGCTGAGGCTCCCGACGATGCGGACAGAGGGGGTCGAGAGGAGCGAGCAGGAGAAGCAAGAGGAACAGGAGATGCTGATGCGGATGCTGATGCGGATGCCGATGCGGATGCTGATGCGGATGCCGGAGCGGATGCCAAAGTGGTTGCTGCTGGTGACGAGGAATAAGAGCGTGCTGAATGCTGGGATCGCCCAGACGTGGACCTGGTGGATTGGGACCGGGATGGGGTCAGTCCATTCACTCCATTGGCATTGCGAGACGACGACGACAATAATGATACTGAGGGAGAGGCTGCGGAGCGGTTATGGTGTGTGGCCATGGCAGCGGGGGCAACAGAAATTGGCGGCTCCGGGGAGTACGAAGCGCCGGCAGTTTTGAATGCTTGGTCAAGCAGTCGAGGTGACGTCTAGTTACTGGTGATGCGACTATCGTCAATGGCCCAGATGTCGTGACGAGGAGGACCAAAGAGGATGGAGCAGAAGAAAATTTCAAAGCACAGCAACTGACCGACAGAGGGGAAAAGATGAAAGCTCGACTACAAATCTTTAAAGGGCAACAGACAAAAGGAACAAAAAGACAAAAAGGACGCCGTAAACAGCTGCAAAAATCCTAGAATTCTCTTGGCCAACTGTGCCAAACTCAATGCGCCGTACGATTCAAGGCGCGAAGCGATGCGCACAGGGGGCGCTGCTGTGTCGCCAAAATAACGGCACCCGGGCGCCGATGCATTAGTTGATGCTAACTAGAGCTGTTTGGGACAATGGCTTGATCCGTCCTGGGCTTTGTCTGGCCGTGGAGTATGCAACGTACAATACGGAGTATGTTATCAAATGTCGCTACGCATGTGTGAGCTGGAGCGGGCCGTCGGATCTGGCGTGGTCTGCCGAGCTGAGCATTGATTGACAAGAAAGACCTCACAAGACCTCACAAGACCTCATAAGAAACCGGGCATCTTGAGATTGGCCGTGTTGGTGAATCAATGCAGCCATCATCAGCTGCCGACCATGAAATAAGTTGAGGCACTGCCCGGGGTCCTGGTCAGACAAGATTACAGACCAGCGTCCTCGAAATCTGGGTCGCGGGAATAAAAAGCCGACCATGATATGTCAGAGCACCAGACGCTCGCATGCATCAACGGCGTCGTTCAATCACGCCCAACTGGCCTGGCCTATGCTGCGCAACCGACGACACGAGGGGCGCAGACATTGGCCCTTGCTCTCGTGAAGCACGGAGCATGTGGGCAAACGCAATGTACCTGTGCTAGTACATGGATGCACTCGTGCCCGGCCCAGCCAACCAGCTTCCTTCCTTTTCTTTTTCTCCTTTTCTTCTTCTTTGTCCCGCGTCGAGGGTTGGACGTCGGCTGGATTGGGGATGCTGCATGTACAAACATCTGGTGACGCTTCAATGTCTTGCTTTGTTCAAGTTGGCACCCAGACCATCGACTTGACAAGACGAAATTGCTGATTGACGACTCCCAGTCGCCAGAACCCGTATCGACCTTTGACTTCTCGACAGATGGACTGGTCCACTTGACACTTGCATAGTCAAGTGCCATTGAGCGCAACATGCATATATGCAATTAACAACTACATGACGATGATTTGTACATGGCCTCGCAGAGACATTGACCGAAGCAATCGAGTATAAATCTAGGTTTTTGCCAAGTCAAGTTCGTACACGAAATTCTTGCGTCATCGTACAACCAGCCCAGTCGCCGGTTGTTGCAATGCCCTTGAATGCCACACTGGAGTGGCACGTCGACAAGTTCGTATCTACGGGTATTGGCGTCCAATGCCAATTACCTGGTCGGCAATGAGAGGCCTTGCCTCCACACGCTAACTAAACCTCCCCTGGACCTTTGTTCTCTCTCGTCATGCCTCATGTCGCCGTGTGAGCCGAGGTGGATGGAGGTGACTGGATTAGACCAGCCTCGTGTGTTTGACCGTGGATTGTGATGGCGTATATGCTTCAATGTGTCCTTGTCCAGTTGAAAAAAACAAATCATTGAGCCAGATTTGGTGACCAAAAGACAAAAATCCTTCTAACCAACACCGGTCTATGTAGACATGCCGGTTCACCAGTTGACATTACCTTATTACCTTACCAGTCTGTCCAGCCCACGAGATACCCAGTACGGAGTGGTAATAGTAGTAACTACAATCTAACCCCTGTAAGTTTAGCCATGAGTGACCTGACAAGGAAGTAAGTGGGGTTTATTTACAGGGACTTTTCTGCTAACAGGAGCTCTTTTTATTTATATTAATGGCTGTTAACCATAATATAGGTTAAATGACAGGGGAGTAGTGGGTCTTGTAAGAGTAACCTTTATTGATAAGAGATTTTATCGCGTTATCAGGTACTTTAAACCCCCATATGCTCTCTGTAATAGTGATATCTCATTGGCTTGAACCCCCCTTGCTATGTCACACCTGGCTAAACATTCAGGGTCTGAATTGTACTACCTATCCCTTTGGTTGTGTTAAGGCTTCAGTCGGGTATCTGCAGGGATATATATCCAATGAGATGCTAAATTTAAGAAGGTACATTTAGTTACTAATAAGTTAAGTGATAATTAGAGTACTCATAAGACAATGCTTTACAAGCAACTACATTTAACTCAATACAGCCCTAACGCGATTAACGGGTCGCCTTACGGTCACCCGCTATCAGCATGGGCATTATGGGGCTCGTGACCTCGCTGGAGCCTTAACACAATCAAAGGGATAGGGTTAGGACACTCAAAAACTACCCTACGTACCTAGGTACCTACTCAGTTACTATTGACCGCTTCGTCGTGTGGGGAAACCTACATAATATTCCGTCACACAAATTGTCCATCTGTGATGCCTTTCATCGTCTAGTCCAATTGAGATGACACGGGTAGTCGCACCACTATGAAATTTTTCAACAAGTTTGGTTTTTCATGGAGAGCTGGAACAATAGCGGACGGCGGATCTCTGTTCTGCAATACCACCCAACACGAAAGTGACGTGTTGAGTGTGTTGAGGAGTAGAATATCGGCATACACGACGGAACCTTTCCCATAGCCCTATCTGTGTCATCTACAATTTTCATCACGAGGCCTTGTCTCATTGCTTTAGCTGGCCACTCAAACACGTATCCGGCACACGGATGTGTTTCAAGCATTGCTGTTTCCCGTGAACGAGAACACGGTGCTAATTGCAAACCCTCCTATTCCGGACAGCCAAATTGCATGGATGGGCACTAGTCAGCTCGCATTATACGGCATGCAGCATCTTGCCAATCCATCTCGGCACAGTTTAGCCATGAGTGACCTGACAAGGAAGTAAGTGGGGTTTATTTACAGGGACTTTTCTGCTAACAGGAGCTCTTTTTATTTATATTAATGGCTGTTAACTATAATATAGGTTAAATGACAGGGGAGTAGTGGGTCTTGTAAGAGTAACCTTTATTGATAAGAGATTTTATCGCGTTATCAGGTACTTTAAACCCCCATATGCTCTCTGTAATAGTGATATCTCATTGGCTTGAACCCCCCTTGCTATGTCACACCTGGCTAAACATTCAGGGTCTGAATTGTACTACCTATCCCTTTGGTTGTGTTAAGGCTTCAGTCGGGTATCTGCAGGGATATATATCCAATGAGATGCTAAATTTAAGAAGGTACATTTAATTACTAATAAGTTAAGTGATAATTAGAGTACTCATAAGATAATGCTTTACAAGTCACTACATTTAACTCAATACAGCCCTAACGCGATTAACGGGTCGCCTTACGTCACCCGCTATCAGCATGGGCATTGTGGGGCTCGTGACCTCGCTGGAGCCTTAACACAATCAAAGGGATCCAGCGACCAGGCATCACCCACTGTCGCTTATCGATAACAGCATCCAAGTCTCCAACAGCCTTGCTCATCCGTCGCATCATCACCTTTTTTAAAAAGCAACCTTTCAAGGCTAAGTAACAATAACGAACAAGCCTGATGGAAGCTTTATGGCCCCGGAGCCACCATGTCGTACAAGCGCTCTCGGTCGACGTTTGAGGCAGACCTTTACGCACCGTATGCTCTTTTTGGCACGCCTCTGCCCGACGAAACCGACCCGCGCGACGATGGCTCATATTTGCCTCTGTGGAAACAAGACGTGAGGGACGAAAAGGGCAGAAAACGGCTCCACGGTGCCTTTAAAGGTGGTTGGAGTGCAGGGTACGTGCTAATTGGAGCTGTAGCGCAGTAGTGATGCAACGTCCAAATCTAATAATCATTCCACAGCTACTTCAATACTGTGGGCTCCAAAGAAGGATGGACGCCGTCTACCTTTGTCTCCAGCCGCTCAAACCGTCGCAAAGATGATACAGCATCAACCACAATCAAAAAAAGAGCCGAGGAGTACATGGACGAGGAAGACCTGGAGGATGCAGCGGAAGCACGGCAGCTCCAAACTTCGCAGGCCTTCGCAGGGCTGGGATCGTCCACCCAGGATGAAATGCGCGATGGCGGGCTTATGGGACTATTCAAATCATCCGGAGACACAAAGGGACTACAGCTGTTACGCAAAATGGGCTGGAAAGATGGCCAGGGAATTGGACCCAAGATTCGACGGGGTGCCAGACTCGACGTGGGAAAGAGCGGTGCTGGGTCTGACAACAACAAGATGTATCTATTTGCTCCCGATGATGCCCAAATGATACAATTTGTTCGAAAAATGGATCGGATGGGCCTGGGACACCAAGGCGGCGCGAAGTTGCAGAGTCTGGGAAAGACTGGCGATTCAGACCAGGACAGTGACGATGACGATGACGACACACTGGACAAGAACAGCAGACCGTCTTTGTTTTCTGCAAGAAAAAAGGAATCGAAATCTCAAAGGGGCGCTTTTGGCGTTGGTGTGCTAAACGACACCGGCTCGGATGAGGAAGACCCGTATGAGATGGGGCCCAAAATAAGATACAATCGCGTTATGGGAGGGGAAAAGAAAAAGAAGAAGAAAGCTACGGCCGCAGTGAACCCGTCTCTCAAAAAAGCGCCAGTATTTCTATCAAAGACGGCCAGGGCTGGAAACAACCTTCGCCGATGTCATGATGGCCGGCTCCCACTAGATGGGTTCGTCCTGGCAAAAGTCGTCGAGGATTTGGCAGCTGTTCTGTCACAATACGCGCCACCCCCTGTTCCCGAGGGTTGGAAGTCATCCAAAGACCCGTTGAACATGGGGGATTCTTCTAAATACACTTCGACTGCCGATGCTGCAAAAGTATCTACCTTGGACCCGAGATCTCGAGCGGCTCTTCTCGGTGAGGCAGCCCTCCCGGGCAAGTCCGTCTTCGACTTCATATCTTCCTCCTCAAGAGATAAGCTGGCAGCTCTATCTGGGAAGACGAATCTCCCGCCTGGTTTGGGCCAACTCCCCGAAGGCCACGCCCCACTGTCAGAAGATGAAAAACGCCAGGCATTATGGAATCAAGTTCCCAAACTGGACCAATCCACCGCAGCAGCAGCTCTGTCCCGTAGCTCGGCTGGGCCATATGCAGACGACGAGGCAAAGCGTGGCCGCTACAGAAAATACTTGATGTCTCAGGCGAATCCTGGGCAAGATCTCCCAGATAAGGCGCCGAGAGCGACAGATGAGGACTATATTCGAGAAATGAACGAATTCTACAACTGCGCCAGGATCTTCAAGCCCATGACAGGCTTCATGGCGTCAAGATTCACTACATCCAAGACGGTTCTTAATCAATCATCCAACAACAGCAACGAAAGCGATAGCAAGACACGGACAGATGTACTGTCAAAGCCCGAACCAAAGAGTAGAGATCCGGCTGAAGAAGCCGCAGTAGTAGGCATGTTTGGACACATGACGCGCTCCGTGGAAGATTTCTACCCAACAAGGCTGCTTTGTAAGAGGTTCAACGTACGCGCTCCTGCACATGTTGCGCCAGATCGCGAATCAGATAATACCGCATCGACGCCAAACAAGAGCGACAGTCGGACGATGTCAACGCAATGGTCCATGTCTGATTCGAATGTTTCTGTTTCAGTACCCCTGGCTCTAGAAGCACCGACGTCATCAGGCGCTGTAACGCCGGTACAGCAGCCGGTGGAGGTGAATCCAGAGAAGAATGACGCCGTCGAAGGCAAAATAGCCAATGCTGATGTGTTGAAGGCAATATTTGGAGATAGCGATAGCGAGTAGGCATGCAGATGACGTAATGAATGAAAGAGGATACCATTTGGAAACATCACAGCATGTGCAATATGCTCTATTAAATTAGTCGGTTTAATTACGACTGCACTGACGGATCAACAATTCGCATCTTGCTGGAGATGCAAACCCATACTGATATCCAAGCGGGTATGATGGCCTGTATACAATATATCCATGGATTATTTATGCATTATACTATAAAGTTGCCAAATTTTGGCGATCCAGTATCAACCATGAAATGCGTCCTTGCCTCATTCTAGCAAATGCTCCATGCCAATAAATAACAACACATAACGAAGTACCTCAACGCCATAGCAGTGCCTTGTTATCTGACTTCATTTGGTCCGTCCTCCTATCCTCTTTCAGTGTCGACGCGCTAAGCAAGCTCGTGGATATTGCCGCGGTGGTCGTCGCCTGGCTTTGCAGACATTTCGTAAACAACGGGCTTCTCATTGCCATTGTGTCCCTGGCGGGCGGGGGGAGGAGTAGGCGTAGCACCCACAGTCGCAAACCCAACTGGGCTGACGGTAGGAGCACCAGTTCGAGGATCAGTTGAGTATGTACCGGTTGGCGAGCTGACTTGGCCAGTAGCCACTGAAGGAGAGTATTGTCCCACCGGCGGACAAGTGTTGTAGTATCCTTGAAGAGGAGGAGGAGAGCCCGGGGGGGAAGGAGGGCATCCCGTTCCCTGGGCAGGAGACGCGTTTGCCATGTAAGGCGAGGTGTGGGGAGGGTATTGCCGCATGAGAGGCTGGTTAGGAGGAGGCTGCTGCTGCTGCATGTTCTGACCCTGTGCAGCATCCTTCTGCTTCCGTTTGTGACGCAGGAGGAGCAGGACGCCGACGCCAACCAAGGCAATGGCCGCCACACCACCAACCACGCCGCCGACAATGGCGCCCACGGGGGTCTTCTTGTCACCCTTGCTGCTAGTACCATCGCCGCCGTCACCGGTTGCCTTGGCCGAACTGCCCCCAGACGTGGCCGCAACGCCACCCGTCTCGGTGGCATCGGCATACCCAAGGGGTGATGAGGTAGACGACGGCGCGGCCGAGGCGCCCGTCACCAGTGCTCTGCTGACACACTTGCCGTCGGCGCCGCAGCTTTTCGGGTACTCACACCAGACATTGTTGGAGCTGGCCTTGGGGTTGCAGCAGACGCTGGAGCCGGCGATGCAAACACTTCCACACTCTTGCTTCCCTGAAGCGCATCCGTCCGTGGGACCGCCTCGGCAGACCTTGCCGTTGGGGCAGCAGCCTTGGGCATAGCAGTAGAATCCGACGTCGCAGTACGTCCCCTTGACCTTGTCGCAGCAGGATCCTCCCTTGGGCATACACAAGTCCGTCCCGCAAACGGCCTGGCTGGCGAGGCACTGGTCGTCACGAGCGGCGAGTCCGCTGAAGCCGTTGGCCAGGCCGGCACCGTTTAGAGAGTAAATGTCGGCGGCCTGGAAGGGGGACGCGTTTTCGACGGCCGAGGCCAGCCCGGCGAGGGCAACGACGAAGCTTGCGGTGATCATGCTTCACGGCGATGGAATGTAGATCCGAAAGTTACGACGAGGGAATATGGTATTTGGAAAGCCGGGGACAGAACGCCCAAGATGTGATGTGCTCCTGAGAAGCAACGAAAAGGATGATGATGAGATCGGTGGACGGCTCCTTCACGCCGCGATTCTTCAAGTTTCTCCCAACGCAGCAGGGCTGACGAAATTTTTGTGACTGGCCACGGCCGTGGACAGGAAAACCACGGGCTCTCCATTCTCCGTTCTGTGTGCTCGTATCCTCTGGCCTTGTGCTTGGTAAAAAAGCGACATCAGCCGCGCTCTCTATGATATCGAGGCGAGGTTAGCTGCAGGAGGAAAAAGCAGCCCTATTCAGCCCAGGTCAGCCACGGGCTTGGGCTAGTGCCTTGGATGGCGAGAATTGCGGAACTTGCAGGGCTGTCGTTGGTCCGCAAGGACAATTGCTGAAAGGAACCCCTGGTCTTGTAATAAGCTTCAATGTTTCCTTGGAGCTTTTAATTTCCGCGACCCTGCAGATTGGCTTTGGTTGCGCATGGCTTGTCGTCGTGTTTTCTCCTTCAAGTTTTGGTCGGCCGGGGGCGGGGAGGGGGGAACGCTTCTTGATCAATCGGACTGATGGGCAGGAGCATGAATGATGGAGTAGAGGTGAAGTAGGCCTTGGAAGCCAGTAAAAGTTCTTTATGATGCCATGATGCCATTTGGCTGTGGTGACCATGTGGGTTTGTTGGGTGCCAGTCAGCCCTGCTCTCCACAGAAGCAATATGTGCCTGGATGGCTGCTGGCTTGGATTAGTAGTGTGACTCGATGCACCTGGGGGTTCTCCAGGTTTCTGGTTCCGTCGTTGGAAACAGGGGAATCGGGATTGTCCTCGATGCATATTGTATTGTGGACGGAGAAACATGGCTCCTCGCAAAACGGGCGGCCAAGTTGACCTTGTTGCTGAACTTGGCCATGAGCTTTTATCGTTTCTTTTGTGGGGGGCAAGTTTCAATTCAAGACTGTGGTATGAATCTTTGCTCTTCAAGTCGCAGGCTGGGATGTCCTTGTTTCTAATTAAACACGAGACGAGAAGTTGGGGTTGTCATCGTAGCCGGGGAGCTTCACGCCAGAAGTGGTGGAACAGACTGTTAATTAGAGCAGAAGCTCAATGTTCTCAGTTTCGGAAAAGCCTGTGAACGGCCTGGCCCAGAAGAGAGCTGTTGGCGCGACTCGGCGAACAATGAGATGCCCCAGGTTATGGACGATCAACGAGGATTGGCAGCCCAAGATGGCGGATGCGCAGGGCAAGCTATTCCTATCTCCGTTAGGCCTTGTCTGGGGGAACCGACTTAGACTTGGACTTGCCTACATCCATGACTCTGAATGTTCGGTTCAAGGAAATCCACGGCGCAAGGCACCGTGTGTGTTATTAGCCAAATCCGCCCAAGCATGGTGGTGCGATGACGATTTTGGGACGCTTCGAATAGGAAGTGGTGGCTCTCATCGACATCGTCAAGCCGGCGGAACAAGACGAAAAGTTACAATTCCCCAAGGATATCCTTCCCATTGGATCGTCGGATGTGGCTGTTGTTCCGTTCCCATGAACTTTTGTCTGTTGGCATTGAGGCGTTCGTTGTCTTTTGCGCTCCACAAGAATCCATCCATCGAGCCGATAACCCGAGCCTGGGAACCTTGGGAAGACGGCGACCTACAATCTGGCTTCCCCGCATTCATTGGGGGCCTATTGGCTATTGGGGAATAGATTCATTGTGCCTAGATTCAAGCTGGCAGAGGGCTCCCTCAACTCCTTGTGCCTACCCCGGGTTTCTAATGGGGACGGGGAGACGATTCCACAGGAACGTGGGACCAGGCGATTTGATATACATGCATATTGATCCTGCTGCTGCTCGGAAGTGCCGGACCCTAGTCACTCTCGGGGTTATTGGGGTAAAACTCACCCGAGACCCGAGTGGAACTAAGCCTCTGTGCTGGCTTGGCAACTATTTGACGTCTCGAAATGTTTCTATTGGAACACTTTGATGTTCCTGTTTAGCGTCGTAGCCACGTCAAGCAAAACGAATAAGCCTAAACCCTCGCCCAATAACACCGATCCGGCACAGCGGTGGCTTTGAAGGTTCAAGTAACCATGTCCTCCAAGAGCAGGGTAGTAGTCATACGAGACTAGAACCAAACGACATCCACTTTGTGGGAGAGGGCACGGCTCGGACGGCATGCGAGGTCCTGGAGTGGTCCTGGAGTGGATGTCTGTCCAAGAACTGGGCTGATTGATGCGTTCATCGTGGTGACGAGAGTGGTGTACCATATATACTTGGTCAATTCGGCATCTTGATGCCGGTCTTGGAGGCGTGGCCGACAAGAGAAGCTTGATCGAAAGAAGCAAAAGTTTCTGCGGAATATTCGCAAAAGACGGCGAGGAGGGCGCGTCTCCGCCACAAGATTGAATCTTTTGCCCGAACCAACTCCAGTACCATGACCGCAGCTGCATCAGACAGACGGGGGCTATATTGACAATCGAGACGACGCCGTCCGGCTAAACTGGCAGTATACGTAGGCGTCTCGTCGCCGGGCCCCGGACCACGACACGCGCCCTCTTGACGCCAATCCTGCTCAATTATCCGAACTCGAGTCTCGATCCCTCATTACAATTTCATTGAGAACATGGAGGATTCTGAAAAGGCCGTGGAGCACCAAGCTTCCCGTCCAAACTTCCATGGACTGGGACAAGATGACAAAGCTGAGCCCGTCAGCTTAGCAACTCCTCCCCGTATGCGACGTCTTCACGACCCAGAGGTGTCGTTCCAAGAATACCATCACTATGCACGAACCACTCGTGCGGAACAAGATGCGCTGCCCAAACCAACGGGCAAAAAGTCCCTTTTGCATTATCTGGTCCCCAATCTGCAAAAGGTAGAGACGGGGCCTGCAGATGTTGCCACTCGCCCTGATCTGAACACCTCCGACATTGAGCAGCGCAACATGATTTCTGACCAAGAGTGGACGAACGCCTCTAGGGCCTTGAGGACCGCTGGGACCGGCGCTGTTTTCTACCTCATCACTACAGACATCTTGGGTCCCTTTGGCTTGCCCTATGCTTTTGCAACGACTGGTTGGGGGTGAGTGAGATGAGAGCCAACATGATTCGAGAACTCGACGAGACTTCAACTAACACGAAACAAATAGACCGGGTACCGCTCTATACACCGTATTTGGATTCATGGCGGGTCTCTCTGGATATCTGCTGTGGGATTGCTTCATGGGTAGGTTGATTCTCGACTACAAGATGGTTATATCACGTCTATCGCTTCCGAGACGCTCAACTAATGCCCTTGCAGGTCTTGACTCATTTCAGTTTCCAATCAAGTCATTCGGAGACATGGGATTCCGCGTCTATGGAACATGGTGCCGCTATTTGTTCAACATCCTGCAGGCCATCCAGCTCATTTGCAACGTCGGCGCCATCATCATATCCAACGGGGAAGCGCTATCGGAAGCTGTAAAGTTCAAGCTCTGCTATGCCATTTGTTGCCTGGTATGGGCCCTTGCTGGCTTCGTCCTGGGCCAGATTCGGACCCTGCAAAAGTTCACCTGGCTTGCCAACGTTGCCGTCTTCATCAACCTGCTCATCATGTTCATCACCATGGGCGCCGCCGCCCACACGCCTCCTCTCTACTCTGCATCCGCCTCGTCGGCGGGCTATTCCATTGATCCAGCGCTCGTCACCCCCGTTGATGGAACGTACCCCCCCGTCCAGCACAGCGCGGCTCTGCCGGTTTCTGGCAACTTTGCGGCCTCGCTCAACGGCGCCATGCAAGCCGTCTACTCGTACGGCGGATCCATGATCTTTCCCGAATTCATGGCCGAAGTCGGACGCCCGAGAGACTTTCTCAAGGGAATGTGGTCTGCCCAGCTCTTCATTTATATCTGCTACATGCTCTATGGGCTCTTCATGTACGGCTTCCAGGGCCAGTACGTGCAAACGCCGGCATACCTGGGAATATCTGCATACGGATTGCAAACGGCAGGCAACTCGTTGGCAATTGTATCCGCTCTGATCGCGGCTACGCTCTACGGCAACATTGGCATCAAAGGTGTGTATTGCCTTCTTCATGCTTAGCAGCCCCAAGCCCCTTCCTGTTTCCCAACATGCTAACAGATGGTGATGATGATAGTGCTCTATAACAACATTCTCGTCGAATTCTTCAAGGCCCCGCCGCTGGAAAGCAAGCACGGTCGATATATCTGGTTTGCTCTCGTCCCAATCTACTGGTCTATCGCCTATGTGATCGGAGCAGCGGTTCCCGATTTTGCTGGCTTCACCGGCATCGTGGCCGCCGCCTGTATCTTGCAGTTTACGTACTCGTTCCCGCCGCTTTTGCATATGGGGTATCAAATCCAAAAGTCGGCCATGGAGGGAGAAACCGGGTTTGACCCGAGCACCGGCGTGCTTGCGGTGCGTGACCGCGGAATCAAGCGCTGGATGCGTGGCTTCTCCGGGGCTCGCTGGTACCTCAACATCTTCAACCTGCTGTACTTCCTCGGTGCTATGGCCTTGTGTGCCCTCGGTATATATGCTTCGGTTGTGAACTTGATCCAGATCTACGCCGTTCCTCAGCTGAATGCTTTTGGCTGCAAGTCTCCTCTGGACGTTTCGGCATAAGAAGAGCTTCCAGCCGCAACACGAAGCTGGCCGGTATATAAGCTCGAAAAAAAAACACTAATACGACGCGCTACAGCAACACGCGGATTTGTAAATATACCAGACGTTTTCGAGTATTTTCTTTCTCGTGATTATCGCTCGGTGAGGCCGGCCTTGTGTCTCTGTCTGGATATAACGACGGACGAGAACTGAACGACGATGGAAAGTTTCGAGTTCACACCTTGACGGTATGGTGTCCAGTGGCAGAGATTATACTGCTGGAAGGATGCTTGCCGCATCGACGAGGCCAGCCCGGCTTGGCCAAGTAGCAATGTTGTACTGGACCTTCGTCAGCCGGAGGCAGAAACCTTTCCACCACGGAACAATATTCGGAACGGTGGTCATTGACGCCCATCCAGCAATGCAGGTGCCTATGTAGTTCGCAGCGATTGGCACCACAGTGGCGACAAAATCCCTGGCCCTTCTTTGGCTCGGCGGCCGTCGACCGAGAGGGTGCTTGTGACGACGCCTGCCTCTGCGTCAAGCAGGAACATTGGGGTTCAGACGTCTGGGCCCAGTTCCACGCCCATTCCAGATCATTGGGGCCGAGACGTTGACAGCTCAGCGGGACGGAGCCGTAGAGATGGCGGAGGACGGCGTAGAATCGTCGGTTGGTTAGGCCGAGACACGTGCAGTCTATGGGGTCGAGCATGTCGAAGACGTTGTACATCAGTTCCAGCGGCAGATCTGTAATGGTCGCGTTTGAAGGAGGCGTCCGGGATGGTTGGTGATTTCGGATGCCGGAAATCGAAGCAGAGCGGCGGAGTCGCCGTGTTGGCACTTTGCGAACAGGACAACAAGGGTTTATACATTCGGCTTCAGGTGCCATGTGAGGTTATTGTGCGAAGCTTATAACAAGTTATCAAGTGGTAGGCTTTCAAAAAAGCGAAACTCGTTGGTGAAGCATTGGGCGGTGAGTGCTGGGCAAGCTCGTACAAATAAATGTCTAGACATGAACCGAGGCTTGCAGGTGGCTTACAAGGTGCAACAAGACGCAATTGCCCCCTCGTGATTTCTGGAACAAAAGTGGTCAACAGCAGGAAGCTACGTCACCGATGATGCATGAAGGGATGGCAGGATGGGTGGCGAGCTGAAGGACATGTGGTGAGATATCCGCTGGCATGATGCGTCGCGCACAGCCATCTGCCCTCTGTTTATTCGGTGCCGTTTCCAAATGCGAATCGGATCAGGCGACGCTGGAGAAGCTGCTCGACCAGTTTTGGCACATGATGGATTTGGTGTCCGTCTTGGTAGAATGTTGCCGGACCACAATCTGTGTTAATTATGCCATTGCGCACCGAGAGGCTACCGTACAAGACGAGTTGATTACTTTCCAATAGACTCGTCGCTATTCGGCACGCAATCCCGAGTCCTCAAGCCTTCTTTGATAGTTATACGTGGTCTTGAGCGTGACCAAAACGCCATACCGAGGTATCCTTCTGTTCCCGACTTGAGTGCCGTCACCGTCCTCCCAATTAACTACTTGCTCGTGACGGAATAAAGGCCCTCGTCAGCTGCCGTTGATGACCAACACCAGTAATGCCAGTCAAGCACAACAGGGTCCAGCTACAGAACCGTGGCTGTGGGAGTCGTGGAGTTTTGCAAAAGCCAAAGGGTGGCGCCACCACGTTCTCCTGGGGAAACCCATGGTGCCATCTCACTCCATCTGCCACAACTTGCGTCGACGTGAGGGTGACTGGCGATTGGTCTCGATTCGTTGCAACTGGGCAAGTTTGTGCCACAGGTCCAGAACCTCGTGGCTGGACTGGATCGCTCTTGGCCGGCCAGATGTTGCGTTCGCATAACTCTCAGGCTTGAGCTGCTCCTCCATAGATGCGTTATTGTCTCTGTTTCATCAAAGACAGATTGGCACGGCGCGATGCTTCAAATCTAGACCGCTTGGCACGGAAACACAGCACAAGGGGCTAGGCAAGACCTGTGGTGCCTTGGATTCTCCGGGAGAGTCCCTCGGCCGGCAGAAGTGGCTACTCTAGACACTACTAATGTCTCATTGGAACCGTCTTCTTGCTAGTACTATAGAAAAGTGTCGACATGCAGATGCCGCGTATCGCCGTCTACAGCTTGTGGGGGCTGAAGGGGATATTTACGCCCACCCGCCCGTCAACAAGGCCGATTTAGCGAGATTGACGGTGTCGATTGAGCTGCAGGGCGTCGTCTTGCGGGGAATATAGCCATGGGTCAACGGCTCGGAAACCGACATGTTTAACGCTGTAAGCGTTGGAGCGAACTGTACCTTGGCGGGCAATCTACCATGTAAACCGGGGAAACCGAAGGATCGATAACTTGAGGAGTCAAAAACTCGGACGTTTCCCTTTCATCTTGCATGAGACGCATTATTATTCCGTTGAACATTTTTTGTTTTGTCCACCAGACTCTTTGGTAGTCCTGGGTGTCTCACTAGGAACCCGGCCCGTCAATGTACACGGCGTATGAACGCCACCTGGAGCCGGTGCAATTCTATCCGAGTCCAGTACTTTACTAGTTACTACAGATAGCCAACTAGTAGCATTAGCGAGGGGGCTTTTCTCGCTCGTGGTTGGATTACGTGGCAGGCGACTCGGGTCTTTGCTGGTCGTCTGCTACATGACCTGTGTAGTAGTTTTGGACCAGAGGTTTACAAGAGTTCAGCTCACAGCACCGTTTCTTGGATACAAGGGAATTAAAAAAAAAAAAAAAAAAAACTTTAAAGGACCAGACTCTTTGGTAGTCCTGGGTGTCTCACTAGGAACCCGGCCCGTCAATGTACACGGCGTATGAACGCCACCTGGAGCCGGTGCAATTCTATCCGAGTCCAGTACTTTACTAGTTACTACAGATAGCCAACTAGTAGCATTAGCGAGGGGGCTTTTCTCGCTCGTGGTTGGATTACGTGGCAGGCGACTCGGGTCTTTGCTGGTCGTCTGCTACATGACCTGTGTAGTAGTTTTGGACCAGAGGTTTACAAGAGTTCAGCTCACAGCACCGTTTCTTGGATACAAGGGAATTAAAAAAAAAAAAAAAAAAAACCTGTAAGGAGTTGGCCCCCGATTTGGCGATTGACAGCCAGCCTTTTCCGGTCAGATATCTCGTTTACTATACGAGTCTCTGTTGACGGAAATGCCACCGAGTTGGAGACTTGGAACCCGTCTCTGCTCGGAAAATATTATGCAACCCTCTCCAGATAGGGATTGTCAAGAGGGGATGCAAAGGCCTTTGTTCCACGTCACGCCACCCCTCGCAACATAGTCGAGCATCGCCAGGGAGTCTGGTTCTGGATGGCGTTAAGGATCAATACTGATTCAGGTTGGCGGGCGAGCTGCGACCGCTGTTTGGCTCACTCGGCCATCCACTCTGATGGTTTCCAGTCGAGAATTGGACCAGTTGGCCTTTACTCATCGCAAGCCATCATCGCCATCTCAGCCATCGGCATTCCGGTGCGCTGAGCCCAGTCTTTGAGGCTTGCCTGGTTCGCCAGACTGCGCGAGAAAGATGGAGGAGGACGGCTTTATTTGCCCATTTGCTATCAGGCATAAAAGGAACCGCCCATTGACCTTTAATGCGAGGTGTGCGCGCCGTGTCGATTGGAAAGCTGTGAGCTCTTGGTCTTGGACCGCCGAGCAAACGATGCTGGTTGAAGCTACAAAAGTGTGACATTTCCTGCTGGTGCCGTTCCTGGAATATCCATCACGCCGCATGTTATACAATGTCGTCTACTAATCCCGACAATATTAATTCACAACCCACCAGCGACGGCGGGAGCGTTGCGGTCGGAATCGTGCTTGGTATTCTGGCGGGCGTATTTGTCGTCCTTGTGTTGCTCTCCAGGTATGAACGAGCTTGCCTATTCTCCCATCGTCACCTGAGAAACTAGCTGAATACCCATGGCAGACTTCTGTGCAAGAATCGCGGCGGTGGCAGTCCGGAGGACCTGGAAGCTGGCAAACGCAAGAGACTGGCTTCCATCGTGAAGCTTGATGGTGTCGCACCGAGTCGCGCATATGGAAACGACCAAGAAAAGGCCGAGCCTGAGCCTGAGCCTGAGCCCAAGTCACCGACGACCTGTACCTTTGACAACGTTATAGTCTGGTAGGTCTCTCCCGCCGCCTTGATCAGATATCCACAGCGGTGGAAATGAAAAGAGGAGGGACCAAACTATTCCATCACAGGCCGTCACCTGTGCTAACTAGCTCACCCACAGTGTCATCTGCCTGGATGTGTTGAAAGACGAAGACATGGTTCGGCGATTACCATGCCAACACTATTTCCATTCCTCGTGCCTAGATACGTGGTACCTACGGCAACACAACAATTGCCCGCTTTGCAAGACGCCGTTGTTCGACGAGTCCAAAAAGAAGGAGAAAAAGGCGGTCGTGATGGCCGAGTCTTCAAGCCAGGCGGCCGGCTCACAGACCATATAGCCAGCCCTGCTGTGTTGTTGAAGACGGCTGCGTTCTGTGTATTATATCTACAGCGGTTATTCCCTACAACTCGGAGAAGGGATGGCGCACTTGGAGTTGTTGCATAGTTGTAAATTCCTTCATTTCTTGCAACTCGTTGGGATCCTCAAACTGCGCAAGAGGGTCAAGTTGCCAACCTACTTTGACAATGGCGGCATTCCGCCGCTTCTTCCAACTGCTGTGTAGGGCGCCTGAGACCCTATGAGTTTGACACTGGCCTAACCGGTCGATCGATTCGTGACTGCTAGGTGTATGCGCGGCAAAAAGACGCCACAGGTGATTGCAGGTTATGATGCCGTCAGCACGTGGGAGACATGGCCACTCAATGTGGATGTTGTTTCACCAACACCAATATTTGCTACCTAGTGGGGCTTTATATGCATATTGACAACGTTGAATGGATCAATGACATGCAGTGTTCAGTCTTCCACGAGCTGAGAGACGGCACAGGCGCCCGACTTGAAGAGGTCCATCGCCGTTATGCCGCCGACGGGCCTCCCCAGAAAGCAAGGTGCTCGATTGTCAGCCCGTTTCCATACCCCATTGCGCCGAGTAACGACGATTCTCGATGTTCAGAGTGCGCTCTTCACTGGCGGTGTTGGCCATGACGGCTGTCGCCTCGGCTGGCTCGGCTGTATCCCAGGATCCCGTCTTCTCAACTTCCTGCGCAGGCAAGGCATACACGTATAATGAGCTCGCAGGCTACGGCTTCGTCCCCAGCGATGCTCGAGACAAGCTGGGAGACTCCATCAGCCTCGGGTCATCGATCGCAATGGCGTCTTGGTCCAAGAAGGGTTCCAAGTACGAAGGGAGACTGTACGGATTGCCGGACCGCGGATGGAACACCCAAGGCACAATCAACTTCCAACCGCGCGTCCATGAATTCCTCGTGACATTGACACCTGCTCCGGACGCGACCGCTGCCAATCCGTCGGCCCCAAATGTCGCCTTTGCATACCAGGACTCAATTCTGCTCACCGGCCCCGATGGCGCGCCCATGACCGGCCTGGACGCGGACCAGACAGGAGGTCTGCAATATCCCGGTTTCCCCCTCCTCCCAGCGGCAACATACACGGGAGATGGCTTTGGCGGAGAGGGCCCCGGCGGAAAACGCGTCTCACTCGATCCGGAAGCGCTGGTTCTCGCCAAAGACGGCGGCTTCTGGATCAGCGACGAGTACGGCCCGTATATTTACAACTTTGACAAGAACGGCAGCATGACTGCCGCCGTAGCGCCGCCGGATGCTCCTCTTCCTCTGAGGAACGGCACTGTCAGGTCAGTATCCAGTCTCGAAAAGGCGGCATTCGGATTAACAAGGGGCAATGTGGTAGCTTTTCGTCAAACAACCCCCCGGCCTACGATCCTACCAGGAAGCCCATTCCATCCAACCCGACCCAGGGACGCCAGAATAACCAGGGATTCGAAGGAATGACGGCCAGTCCGGATGGAAAGACTCTATGGGTGCTTCTTCAATCCGCCGCTCGCCAGGAAGGCGGGTCGAGCTCGACAACCCGTCGATACGCCCGCCTGCTGCGGTACTCGATCGAGAGCTGCGAGGGGAACGGGCAAGCTGTTGTGTACCAGGGCGAGTACGTCGTGCCGCTGCCCACCTTCAGGGACGCGTCTGGAAAGACTGCGGTTGCTGCGCAGTCCGAAATGCACTATGTGTCGGACACGCAGTTCTTCTTCTTGCCAAGAGACTCTGGTAACGGACACGGTCTGGCCAGCTCCGAGTCGATATATAGACATGTTGACATCCTTGACATCTCCAACGCGACAAATGTCAAGGGACCTGCACACGACGCCTTTAATGCGTCGATTGCGAGCGCAGGTTCGCCCAGATCCCCCCTGAAAATATCCGAAACAAGCATCTACTAATCGCAGTAGCTGGTGTATTAAACTCTGATATTGCGCCTGCGACAGTCTGTCCTTTCGTCGACTTCAACGTCAATGCGCAGCTGAATAGATTTGGCTTGCATAACGGCGGTCCCCAGGACGGCGGGCTGTTGAATGAAAAATGGGAGGGCATTGCTCTGGTCCCAACAGAGAACAAAGACGGGCGGCGTGATGGAGAGGAGTACTTGCTGTTTGCATCCTCTGACAACGACTTTGTTACTCAAAATGGTACGTTTTTTATATCCATGTCGGCTTGCCGCTAACTCTAGAGGACTAGGTTTTGTCAACTTTGGCAAAATCCCATTCGCGGATAAGTCAGGATTTGATTTGGACAACCAGATGTTGGTTTTCAGAATCACTCTTCCAAAGGGTGCCAGGCCGCTCGTGGGCTAGCTTTGTCTCTCGATTCTCCGTATTACACGTAGAACACATGGACATGCATTTAAGGTTTCCCAGGGACATGTATCTAGGCAAATACTGCTTGATTGGTCATGATTTTCATCAAGCGAATCAAGAGTCCTAATGCTGTCCACTACATATATACTTGCGCGAGCCGCTCAGTCGCACATGTGGTGTGGTGTGCGTACAAAACATCACAAACACGCCGTATTGTTCCTTCCGAGAGTGGCTGGTTCAATTTCATCTGAATGCCTTGGAACTTCCTACGGACACGGCGATATACAACCACGTTGGTTCCGTCTTGCAACGGCTCATTGTGCGGTTCAAGCGTATAGCCTCCAAGTGTAGGGCGCCGCAACCCGCCGAATAAACCAATAAATAACCGAGGCAACGAGTATGCCGATGCCGACAACACAATACAGCCAGCACGGGAGAGGTGGTGTATCGCCTTGACCACCAGGCGGGCGCAAGTAAAACGCTGCAATCGGCCACCAGGCTTTGAACGGCCTTGACGCACTTGGATTATATTGGCGTAATCAGATATACGACGGCCAAGGGCAGTCTGTTGCGGGAATGCGTTACGTCAAGGACGTGGTGCTGAAGACGCCGAGGGCGACGTCCCATGCCTCCCGCAGTGTAATGGCCGAAGCAAACCTGCGAGTGGACAGAGTGTATTTAAAGTATATAAAGCTTGTAGTACCTACCTAGCGACAGTTCCACCGAAGCAACACCATCGAGATGTTGAATCTCGCCACAAAGACGCAAAGTGTGGTTGAGCATGGCCTCGTGTCACATTTTCAACTCAATTCCAACAACGTCTTCTCACGGAATAGAGGTTACATAAAGGGGACAGAAAATAGCTGAAGCGACTGTCCTACATGGTACAAGTGTACCAATCAAACAGACACGGCAGCTCAGCAGCCAAGCTAGACCCTTGACCAACGCATGAGAACCGCCGCTGCAATCACAGGTAAAACGCTAACAAGTTCGCCCAAGCCGGCATACTCTGGCGGGATCCTCGCATTCACAAAAGCTCCGGCAGCGAGAAGCACCGCAAACGTGTTGTACACAAAGGCCCACGCAAAGTTGAACTTGATCCGTCGAACCGAGGCTTTGCTCACCTCCCTCACAGTCACCAGGCCAGCAAGACCGGGCCTCATAAGAACCACATCCGCTGCAGATTGGGCTACATCACTGCCCTCATGCATGTGGACACCAATAGTTGCCTGGGCGAGGGCTACTGAATCGTTCGTGCCATCGCCGCAGAAAACGACAATCGGTTCCTTTGTCTCCGAGGTATCCTCCAGCAGGCGCTTGATATATAGTTGCTTATCGGCTGGCGTGCTGCGAGAGCGTGTGTGGCTTGTCGGTATTCCCAGCTTGAAAGCCACACCTTGAACAGGTCCGTTATCGTCGCCAGAGACTATATGAACGAAGATGCCCTGTTGCTGAAGTAGGCCAACCACATGTAAAGCATCCGGGCGAAGTGAATCCTTTAGACCAAAGACGGCGGCCAATTGGCCATCGATGGAGAAACAAAGCACAGTATGCTCTTGAGCATCAACAGCTTGCACCGCAGGGTGACAGTCAAAGCCCAACCAACGTGAGTTGCCAGCACGCAAGGTCTTGTCACCGGCCAAGCCCACAACACCTTTGCCTACCAGACTCTTTACTTGGCGTACAGGAGTTGCCACAATGTGCTTGTTTCTGAGATGGTTGGCAATCGCAATGGACACTGGATGCTTATTGTCGGCGACTAGCCCCAGAAGAAACGACATGTTCTGATGGTCAGAGACGATGTTCTCTGCGGTGACACTCAACTTGCCCTCGGTCAGCGTGCCAGTCTTGTCCAGAACAAGATGGGTTGTTTGATGCGCAACCTCAATCGCGTTCGCAGACTTGAAGATGACTCCTCGCTCAGCTGCAATTCCACTAGCAATGACGACGACCATGGGCACCGCAAGCCCAACAGCGCACGGACAAGAAACAATAAGCACGGTGATGGCGTAGGTGATTGCCTGCACTGCTGCTCCAGATCCAGACTTGTGCTGTATTGCTACTCCGACGGCAACCCAAATCACAAAGGTCATGATTGTTAGCCCAACAACTACCGGGACAAAATAAGAGGCCACCTTGTCTGCAAGTTCTTGCATCTTGGGTTTAGACAGCTTTGCTTCGTCAACCATGGCTGCAATCGTAGCGACCGTGTTGTCGCCTGGGAGGCGGTTGAGTCGGACAATCAGAGTACCAGGGCCGTTCAAAGTCCCGGCAATGACACGCGACTTGGCCGTCTTTTCAACCGGAAGCGACTCTCCAGTCAGCAAAGATTCATCTACTTCGGAGGAACCAGACAATACAACCCCGTCAGTTGGGATTCTGGTTTCGGGGAGGACTTTGAACGTGTCGCCGTATTGAAGTAACCGCACGTCAACAGTCTCGGTTTTTGATGGGTCGCCATTCACCATCAGAAGAGCGGTTTCGGCCTGCAACGTCCTCATGGAAATGGATTCGACCGCCTTTTGGCGCGCAAGTGCTGCGACATATCTGCCAACCATGATCAGTGTGACAAGGAGAGTGCTTGTCTCGAAGAACTGTTCGGTGGGGAGAGGCTTCTCGGCTGCTAGATAGCCAAACGATACCACGGAGAATACGTACGCGGCGCTTGTACTGAGCACGATCAAGAGGTCCATTTCGATAACTCGTGAAAACAGAAGCGCTTTCAGTGCCTTGGGATAGAATGGTCCCGCAATCACCACCTGCACAATGGTAGCGAGGACTAGAGAAGCAGAGCTATATGCGACTTCTCTCTTGGGCAAGGGAGCCCAGGCCAGGACAAGTACGGGAACTGTAAGCGCTATAGATAAAATTGTCATGTATCCCAGGTAGGAAACGTGCTTTCTTCCCGCTGCAAGTCCAGGATCATCACCCCCCGGCGCGAGGGTGGCACGCCCTTTCCAGTGCTTTTCCATAAGATCTCGGGACCCAATGATATGCGGATTGAAAGAAACTCTCGCGACATCCTTTTTGACGAGGGTAATATCCAATACGCCATCAGGCAAAGATTGATTGACGAACATTGCCGGATCTTCACTTATAACGAGGTCGAGGGTGGATCCATTACTGGCAAGGATCTCGCATTTGAATTCAGTTCTTCGTTCTAGATGTTTCATGACGTGGTCGGAAGTCACAATGTTGAGGTCGATGTCGAATTCCGCCCTGGAAAGAACGAGACTGGTCTTTAGGTTTTTGACTCCGGATATCACACCAAGAGTTCTGTTGAGTTTTGTTTCGCAACCTGTGCATGTCATGCCAGAAACGGAAAGAACTAAATGTTCAATGTCATTGTTCGGAGCGCTGATTTCCCTCGACAGGGTTGTGCTAGCACCGCCTTGGTATTGGACAAGTTTCATGTCAGCAGCAGGGTGACTATTGCCACGGCCTTTGGTTCTCGAGCCCACGGCCTCGATACCAACCAAGGATTGCTCCTGGGGATCAAAGTGAGGGGATTTTGCTGCAAGTTTCGCGATGGGCTTGCAGCAAGAATCATCGGATGTGGCAGACTGTGTTGGACTTGGAGGGCAGCATGGTGTTTTGGACTGATGTCTTGCTGGTCTTCGTTTGCAAGTAGATTGTCTCTTTGGCATGGAACTCGAGTAGCAAGATGAAATAGAAATGCGGCCAGCTTCATTCGGGCTGCGACTGCGATTGCAGCCTTTGGTCTTCACCGGAGTAGAAGACCGTCGGGCATCACAACAAGACTCCTTCCCCAACGCGAGCAGCGCACGGCAGATACATCCAAGCGCATCGAGACGGGCACGATACTGCTGGCGAATCGAAAGCCGGTGCTGGTCACAAGGTTGGTGCTTCTGCCCGCCGCAAGCTGGGCTTGCTGTAGAGTCACATTCTCGTAGAGCCAAGCGGTCTAGGCAAGATTCGTCGCAGCATGGCGACGGCTTGCCACGGCAGCATTCTGGTGATTTGAGATACGATTTGGCACTGCAGCAGTTATCCGAACAGCCTTTGTCCGACGAGTTGACTGTCCCCTCCTCTGCAAGGACGGGCTCTTGTTTATCGCAGCACCCAAGGCTACAGACGGGAGAAGGACGGCAGCAATCGTCGGCAGACTCTTGAGTCGAAGCCCCATCCAGCTCCTCTTTGGCCGCTGCAGGGGGGGATTCATGGCTGCCCGGGGTTGCCTCTCCATCGCAACAGTTGTCAGTGCAAACGAGGGGGAGGTCCGTCGGAGCATTGTCTGAATCGTTTGTTGGCCGAAGATGGGCGGTGCTGCCTCCGCAGCAGCTGACCTGGCAAGCTTCTTGAGAGGTCGATTCGGCTTCCTCGCAACCGACTTCCAGCTCCACAGCTTGGTTGCCAGGACGAATCTGGACGATGTCGCAATTGTTGGTTGCCTGAGATGCAACAGCATCCGATGGACGAGCCGAGCTCCTTGAGTCATCGTTTCCAAGAGGCAAAGATGCACTCGCCGGCAGCGATGAAGGGCCTGGCCCGCAACACGAACAGTCCATGGTTGGGGTCCTTGGCTTGTTTGCAGTTTGTCAAATAAAGGAACAAGTACCGAGTTGGATGAAAGCAAAGACCAGCCAACATGACGGTCGGAGACTCGGAGTCTCAGCTCCACTCGTCTCGTGATTCCGCGTCGTACCGACGACATTGAAGGCTGCGGGCCAGGCACCCTGACGGCGTGAGACGGAGCGACGTAGCAACATGACTACGACATGAGTGTGCGAAGTTGACTTTTTTCTTTGTCAATGGGCTATTGACCTGATGGAAATCGTGGCCTGAAGTCGAGAAAGCGTCAACTGGTCTGTAGGGACTTGTACCAACAACAAACGCCATCAATCTGCAGTAATGCTGACCGGGTGAACTACCACAGGACAGGTACCGAAAGCGCAAAAAAAGAACATTGAACAATTAAAAAATAAAAATAAAATGCTCATGCAAAGTGTCACCTGCTAATGTCACTGATGAATGCATCGACAGAACAAGGGACAACTGCAAGCACCATAGACATTTGTTACCCTAAAGTCCTAGCAACCGAGGATGAAAGACTTTCAGGTCAAAGTATGCATGTGACGGGTGAGGGGTGTGTGTCTTGTTGAATAACACGCTTTGCAAACGTCGCGTATTCCTTTACTTGCGTCGCAGCCACTTTTGGCCACTGCTCCCTAACCTTCAGAGAGTCGTTGTCTGAAAATGTTCCGCCCCATTCATTGAATCCTCTGGTCTCGCATATAAGGACTGGCTCAAACTCGGAAATTGTAGCAGCAAGTTCCATTACCTTCCGACATGCGTTCTCATAGTGTACGGGAGGGACAGAACATTTTGAAGGAAAGCCTAGTATTGTAGCAATGCGACGACATGTTTCCGCGGGGCAAGTAAATTTAAGAGGCTCAATGGACTTACTTGATGGCATTCCATTGACAATGGAGTCTTCTTCCGAGTACACGGAGCTAGGTGACATGGCTTGAGGGACGAAAGAGCAAGGAATCCCGACGTGGTAATTTGCAGTGACTGTGAGATATGTTTTCTGCGTCAAGGTATGCGAAGATGATATCCAAGAAGAAATGATTGAGAAAGGAAATTCTTTTTTTTTTTAAAAAATACTATTCTGATAATAAATACTTGTTCATGGTTCAGGCTCACCCTCGAGACTAACACAAGGTCAGGCTCGGGTCCCGCAGTCTCCGACTGATGCACAACGGCGGCCGAACAATCACGGCGACATCGGGGGCAGCGACATGGAGACCATCCTACAGGAGAGAATTATCCAGTTGGCCGGATGTCCAGTGACCTGGATCGTAATCATAAGATTTGATGAAGGATGAGAAATACTGCATTCTACTACCATCATTCATCACCGAGATGGTGGCTACCTTGGCACCCGTAGACTCATGGACTTGACTTATCATAATCGATATAGCAGAGAGATACTCTTTTACTTCAAGTGGAATTAGTCTTGTTTGAATACAGTCAAACTTTATCTGAAATGCAAAAGGTCAAGTCACTCAAAGCAGAGTGAGCTCTCCAGCAGTCTGACCAATATATGAAGGACAGACAAGGATGATGATTATTTGGACCAAAGCGGAACTGGTCCAACGCCAACGGAATTTGTCTCCATCTGTGGCCGGATAGGAAATTTGAATCCCTAATTGCTTCTTTCCACGTTTGGGTGACGTGAATTGACGTAGGAGGCGAGGCTCTCTGCTGGAGAAGCTCCCTTCACATCAAATGCTCCCTGCATGCCAAAATGGACGACCAAGTCACGAAATGCCTTGGCCAGGATTATGACTGTCATCTTGGGTAATGCTACCTTCGCAGTGTTGACATGCCTTGTATACCTTCCAGAGACTCGAGAGCGGGGCGGCAAAATAGCAGCATCTCCTGAGATCGCATCTACACAATCGCTCCCATCATATCAGGGCGACACCTTGAGTATATTAAGTTAGGGCCCGAATTGACAGGGATAGAAAGGGAGAGGCGCTGGTGGATGAGGATTATCGATGCGGCCGAATGATGAGTCTCCGCGGCCCCCGGCGGCCACCGGTGGTCAGTGGTCACCCGCGGCGGCCGTCTACTGGCAAAGGCAGACAACGCCCTTTGTGGATATAATTCATTATAATAATAGTCTGGTCACCTTCATCAATAGCTTGCTTGTTAGTTCACGCATGCAACTTGCAAATGAGATTAACGCAGGCCGTTGCAAGACCCGTGACTCCGTGAGCATTATGCCGGCCCCCGCATGTTCAAACGCCGGACGGCGCCGCTTGTGGGGCCCAATTGCCTACTTTAGAAACGGCTGGTGGTGATTTCGCCGCCATTAACGCCGGAGCCTGCGGGGGGGAGGCCGGATGTGAATGTCAGAGTGTCAACCAGCCAAGAGGCGTTGCTGTTTTGTGATGGCCTCCCAAAGTTCCATGCGTAGCAAAACCAGCGGCAATTGCGAAGTCGAGATGCTCCTCCCGGACTGTAATCTATACGCCATCTTGATCTCGACCCTTGCCTGACCAAGTTCACAATTCAGCCCGGCATGATGGAACGTATATTTTTTTAGGAATGCGCCATCATGGCCCTTTAAAGCCGGAATGATGACGAAGGTTACGGACAATCCCACGAAATTTTGCTCACGATGGAGCCGAAGAATATTGAAATAATCGCAAAAAAAATGTATCGACTGCCCAGGACGCTAAAGAGGTCTTCGATATCGCGGATACGGGTCACGAGCAGGCCACGGGCCGCAATTACAGTCTCCGAAGCGCCACCCATAGTATTTCATGCTCCGAATCTATGGGCAGCTACACCAGCAACCATTCAACCGGATACCTACCACAGCCTCCAATCCCCGTAGAGCCGCCTGCATGACTCGGCTCTACACCGCAGCAGCATGTTGACACAAGCTTTTCGTCAGGTACATAACGTGGACAATCTCTATTCTTTTATCTATCTTGTGTATGGGCTTGGACTAATACACTCAGCCAGGGGACTTCCAGTGCGTTTCTGTTGGCCTTCACACCAGCCTTGACATTGGTTTGAAGCTGAAATGACTATGCTCGGCGACTGTCATCGCAATTGTTAGTCTCAGCACGGTGAAACCGATGGTCTCGTACGGTATTACCATTTTCATCCTTCTCATTATCGGACGAGACAGACTTCGTCTTGGGCATCTTGGTCTAGGAAAATTGGGAAATTGCGGGAACTACACAAGTGTGACGGCTTGCACAATCACTATAGTTATGTCTTCTCCCGTGAGGATTCGAATCCAGCCGATAGTGACATGAACTATGCTAGTGTTGCCTTTGGTGTACTTCTCAGGAGCTTCGCTGGGATTTAGGTGATTCGCGGTTGTCGAACATACAAGAACTAGAGAAGCAATTCAGGACATGAGTTCAGCCCGCCATCTTCGAAACCGAGGCTCAAGGGAAAGCTCTACGGTGAAGTCAGAGTAGGGCTTTTAGGATTTTTGAGGACAGATATTTGAGTCTTGTCTACACATCAGCAGAAAGCGGTCGGGAACACAGTCACTGCGGAGAGTACGCGGCACGAGGGTCTTGTTAAAAATGTGGTAAATGGCTTATAACGCAGGTCTGGACAATGAACCCGTAGAAATCTGACAGCCCTCTTTTCTCCGAGCTCCAACCCAGAATTCCTCCGCAATTTGCATCCACCAAATACCCAGCACCCCAAGTTGCGAAGCGTCGACTCATCCAGCAAAATAAAGACCCAAAAGCCCACCAGAAAAACCCCTTGATTATGAACTTTCGGGTCAAAACTGTCGAAACGAAACACAGCAATTGATTTGCTGGCATTGAGCGCGAGTATGTTTCCACAGCCAGGTCGCGGGATGATTACTGGCCCAGACCGGGAATCAGCTTCTCAACGCTGTCGAGGGTCTCGCCGACTCCTTGGAGAAGACCAGAGTGGCCGCCGAGCAAGGGAATATCTCGGCTTTCGATATTGGCGGGAGCAGCAATAACACTGCCGGCAATGAAGGCCAGGGCGGCCAAGACGATCGAGTTGGACTTCATTATGAGATATAAGATACCAAGTATCGGAAACGCTTTGTACAGGTTATTAAGGAGGTAGGAGATATATACAAGATGATGTGAAATAACAGCACAAGTATCCAGGCTGTTGGTCGAGGGACTTCTGCGTCCATCTTATAGCCTCACAAGTTCCAATAAGCTGGTCTGGCGAAGTGAATCATGATTCTGGCGACATTGGCCAACTCGCGCTGGCGGCATTGCTAGTCGCGGATCGTAATTAATTGATTCCAAGTGAATGAGTTGTAATTTATCGTTTGTGCAGCCATAGTACTCGAAACTGCATGCAAGGCGGCGCGATCTTCCATGTCGCGATTTTAGCGGCGTTTTGACAATGCGATGCAAGACCACGGCAGTTCTCCCGACCAATCATGGCGACCGAGTGCAGCCCAGGTTGCTGGAAGAGGTCGAATATGGAAAGAGTCATCATTAACCACTGTATTAAACTAGTACCAAATTCTACCGACATGGCCTGGCCTGTTCCGTGATTTTCCGTGCTCTCTTGCTTCTTGGCTCGGCCTGCGCTCATCACCTAGCATGGTCAGCCAAAGAGACCAAAGCCCAAGGAGATTCTAAATGAGCAAATATTTTTTTTGATGAATTCCTCCAGATTGAGAAGCGAACACTCCTCTTTTGGCAACCCTTTCGCCACATCTGCCTTGGCCTTGAGCTCCCTGCCCTGTTCCAAGCTACTAGGTACGCCATGAGACTTTCCCATCAACGTACTGACAAAAGCCGTACATTGTCTTTAGTCCCACGATATCAGGACTGCCATAGGTCTCAATGAGTTCCCATTTCTATCCCGATGAGATAACTCTTGTAATATGATCTGGGTCGTGTTATCCTCGCTCACTTCGATTCTCGAACCATCGTCTTCCTGTGAAGTTGAGCACTCTCTGCTGGAACTTATCTGTTCATGGTTGTCAGCTATGTAACTCTGTCTGATGGCAAGTTTTCCTGTGGCGGCTTGGCAGCCACGAAGCACGAGGCAATTTGATTGTCCCGATCACGGAAAGCGTTCGATACACCCTCTCGGGGCGGTGTTGCGGATGTAGGCTTTGGATTTGTGCGCGGCCATGGCATGGGTGAAGAGACTCCCTATCGATTAGATGGCGAGCGAATCTATAGTGTCAAATATCTCCATTTTAGCCTCTCGAGATGGAAATTGCGCCAAGAAATGCCCAAGTTGGATAAGAAACCCTATGAATTGGTGACGTCATGAGGGCGAAGCTCGGCGACGAAACTGGTGACGAGAGCAACAGCGATGATGAGGAAGAAGAGTACACTGAGAGTTAAGAGAGTGACGGCAGCGATGAAAGTTTAAGGATGTTCAATTGTTCACAATGGGCTCTAGGCTGCGAAAGAGGCGTCTCCGAGACAAGTCTATACACAAAACGCCATAGTGAATACTAAAGCAAGTTATCGCCGGATTTTCAGTGCCCCAGATGGATGAAAGTAGCCCACGTAACTTGTCCGCAACGTACCTTGGTCGTATCCTTTCCATTCTTTGCAAATCTGCACCGGTTGATAGCAATATGAATGGCATCCGCCACCGCGCGGTCCGGCTGTTGGCTCTTCACGTCTTCGGCCAGACTTTTCCGCAACTCTTCATAGAATTGTTTCGACATGGCCAACGCAATGGCCTCCCAAAGGGTTCCAACCACATGCGGGGCTCCAGCAAGGTGAAAAACTCCGGCCACATGGAGAAACTCGTCAATGAGGTTCTCGCTAGCATTTTGGGAAGTAGAGTAAGCAGATAGATACACCAGCTTCGCGTGGTCGAGTGGGAGCCCTATGAGGTCGCTCACTTCTAGGCACTAAGACTCATTATTCTTGTCTTCCTTGTGAAGCAGGCCGCTCCTTGAGGGCTTTTCGGCGTCTGTCTTTCCATGACAAGAAAAATGAACCATGTTTGCTGACTTTAGCGCTTCCTTGACTCTTTCTTTTGTGGGATTCTCCATCTTGTACAGTCGTGACATGGAGCTCTCAATATTTTTGTATTCCTCCTCCACATCTAGCGAACACTTGCCTACTGTGTGCTGCTTCATGATTACCAGCATCGTTGGCTTTTTGGGTGCCGATTCTGTCCCGAAAGGCCGAGGGCGTGGTGGACGCGAACCACACCGGCCAGCGTCACGGACATATTTGAGCGATGTTAGTGTCGGGATATACGATGAAACGACCCGGCTCATGGTCAACATTTCCTGGCCATCATTTGCTGCATGGAGTGGAAGCAATTCCAACAAGCCGCTTGTTACCCACCAAATACGAGGCAGGCTGCTCGGGCTGGGAGACTTTATCTCACTGCCCAGCACCTCCAAAATACGGTTCACAACTGCCGTCCAGAGCCAATTTGTCGCGCTGATAAGCTTCTTATTCTGCTTGTTCTGATCTGAGAGCTTTCTCCTGACGGCGCGCACGTGGTCTTTCAGGTCTTGGCATGAGAACTCTAGGCTTTTGAGAAGAACCTGCTTTTTCGTAATGATAATCGCATCCTGACGATATTTGTTGACGTTGAAGTATACGATCGGGCCGTACTTTGCTAGGTTCAATATAGTTCCGGTATCGAGAGACTCAACAAACGTGGGTATCCGTTTCTTGGTTTCCTTCTCGACTTGTCCTGCTTCTTTTTCATCCTCCTCACGCCTTAACTGAAGAACTGCCGGTGATCTGCTCACAGTCGCAAGGGCAGGGGGTGGTGGACGAAGCGGATTGCAATACTTCTCATACTTTGCGGCCGGTTCCCATCGATTTCCTCCTCCTTGACAAGCTCTGCTTTGAAGTCCATCACGATACTTGAGATGATCCCACGACCCGTCTCGTACAGCTTCAGTGCGGCTACTATTTTCTTCGGATCCATCATTTTGTAATCTCCCTGTGCGGCAGCCAGTTCTGAAATCAACAAGGCCGTTGCCGCAAGCGAGGACAAACCAGATATCTGGCTCAGAACGTACTGGTGGTCTTCCAAGCTAAACCACCTCGGAGTTGCCTTCCGCAGACGCTCGATAGCTCTTTGAAGAATATCTTTGGCCCGGTCCCAATTCGTATTTCCGGCACACAAAGCACCGGCTTTGTGCGCTGCTATGATGCTTATCAGTGGTGGAGACAAGGAATCCTCAAAGGCGTGGTCGTCGTGTTTGAGAGCCTTGTCCATGTCCGCCGCCTCGGTACGATTGGACTTTTTCCCGCGCATTTCATACATGGTTCCCAGATTCTTCAGAATGTTTGCCCGTTCGGTACCCAAGTTGCCTTTGGCATGTTCTAGTGCATCTTGGGATTTCTTGATAGCATCGTCGAGGAAGCGTGAATCTTGCTTCCTTTCATAGACTTACATAAATGCTGCTGGCAATCGTTAATATGTGGGACAAGTTAACATTCCTCATGTGAAAAATAGCCTTGGAAACGGCCTTTTCAGCCTTTTCGAGTTCTTTCAAACCCTCCTCGCCTTTGCTGCTTTTCGATTTCGTATGCAGCGCGCTGGCGAGCCGGCTTTGTCCAACCGCCGACTGTGCACTAGCCGATGTCTCAGCAAGTTTTACTGCCTTTTCTATATCCTCCTTGTTACCATCGCGTTGGAAACGAATTTCGAGAAATTTTGACAGATTGCTCTGTATCCCCGCATGATGCATCTCGTTCGTCGTACCCTAGGGCCCTTTCCATGTAAGCGAGCTTCTTCGAAGGCATCACTGCCTTGAGTCTTCTCGAATTCAACAAGTCGGAATGCTGCAAGGTTAATGCATGCCATCTTGGCTTCATTTTAGTTATTGGAAGCAGCATTTAGCGCTTCTTTGGCCTTCCGAATAGCCTGTCTGAGCATTTTGTCGTCCCCGGTTCCTCGGTAGTGGGCACAGTATACATTCGCCAAGATGATAAGTCTCGTAGGCCGCCTGCGATGTTTTTCATCGATCAATGACAGGCACTCTTCCATATATTCTTTAGCTTTCCGTATATCTTCCTCCGCCCCAAGCCGCGACTTGTCACATTTGGCAAGTTTTCTGCTCAGATTAGCCAACCGCACTGCCCGCTTCTCTTTGGTCTTTCTCTTCAACCGACTCTTGTTTTATCATCTATAGAGTCTTTGTAATTGTTTCGATCAAACTCCGATTTATTGCACTTTAATGCTTTATCTGCAAGAATAATGGAGTCTTCAATATGAATTTTGAGCGCCTGATCGTCAAACAGGCCTCGTACAAGTTGGAGAGACTGCCAAGCCTAGCAGGAGTCTGAGGAGTCTGGTCTCCAGAATTTCCGGTTGCATTGTCTTTATCAATCTTGACATCTTCGGCACCATACTCTATGGTTTGTTCCAGAGATCTTCGGCATCCAAAATATCGGAACTTTGCCTCATAGAGAGAGGATAGACCGCCCAACCTCGCAGCCTTGTGACGGCTGTTCCCTAACGTCTTCTCATTCGCATCAAAAGCGCAGCCTATTGCTCTTCCTAGCGTGTCTAGCGGCTTTTCTTTTTCTGTGTCGTTGAATTCGGTAAAGAGAACATCGACCAGGTTGCTAAGTCGTGGCGTTTGACCACCTGCGTTTTCCGTTTCATAAGCTACGTTTGCATTCTCCTTAGCGTTCTTTAGCAGATGCTCCTTGGGTCTTCGTTTGAATTGTGAGCGAAGTAGACGAGGAAGTTCGCTTTGTCTTGCAGGCAGGTCCGGATCATCATGTTTGCTGTATCTGACGGCAGACTCTGCTGCTTTGAGTGCCTTTTCGGCGTATTCCAGGTCGTGGTCCATGCCGAAATAGTCTTGACATTTCTTGACAAGGAGACTGCGTCGCGCTGCGAGCTGCCATCATTGCTTTGTTCGAGTTTTTGGAGAGATTCATTCCCTTCCTCGAGCTCCTCTATCACCGTTTTCAAGCTTTGTTTTCTTGCACTGCTGTGCCGAGAGAGGCCACTGTATATACCACTGCGATTTTTCCTTCTGGGGATTGGTAGTTAGGTAAGATCTATAAGGGGATGGAAGGCCACATCTTGCAGACTCTGACCAAAAGTGGCGGTGACGTTTTCCGTGAGAGTCGGAAATTATATGCCAGAGTGAAGAACTCTACCTGAGGACAAGTAGCCATTCAGACATGGTTCGCATCAGCTGCCAACGAAAAATGACTAATCTTCTGCCCAATGGCGATATCGGCCGCTGGTAGACACGGCATCGAGCCGCATATGGCGATGTATACGTTCAGCAGTGGCTAATATGGTTGTTGCAGCGCAGTATCACCACATCTATAGCGATACGTGGCATCTAGATATGGTCCTAGCCGATGCCAGGTCCTCAGAAGAAAGTGCGACTTATGTAGAAATATCTGGACGCCTGGACTGGTACAGTTTTGACAACCGTGGCCGTTTGGTATGCATGCAAAAGAAGTAGTTGCTATCCCGGCCGGATGGCATAGCAGTGAAATCCCGAGGTGCGAAAGCTTTGCCAAGCGCTTCTAGACGCCTTGCCTAGGGAGCTTCACGGCAAAATCACCGGTCTCGATTTACCCAAGACGTCCATCGAGGTGAATCAGATCGAAAATAACTCTATCAACGAGGCCTACTTTCGCGGCGAACTCGAAAACGCCGGATTCGCTGCCAAGGTCTTCAAGAAGACTTGTGTAGTGCAATACGTGAACTCCTGGCCAGACGGGTGAAACAACGCTAACAATCGCTTCACTGAATCCTTCAGCTTTTACGCTGATCATGGGGTTGGTGATGGCGGACCAAATCTTATCCCCTTCAAGAAGGCGCAGGCTCCCGTTCATTGCCAAATATCACCATGAAGTGCCCATCACTTCCGTCGCTGTACAGGAGCTAGATCTCAAGGAGCTCAATCTTCAGACTGGACTGAAATCCACCAAGGAGGCATTTGTGGACTACGCAGATAATGTGTTGAAAGTAGGCATCGTCTTTGGGCGACGTCTTCACCATGGTTGCAGAGCAATTAGACGGCACTTGGTATGTGTGGCTTCCTTGAAACTATCGTCAGGGCAACAAGATCTTGTATATTACAACTTTAAGGTTGAAATATGTCGATTCTCTCTGCTGGGCAAATTAATGCACGAATATTATCCCGCGGATGCAGTCTTCCTTGTCATCAACTAGTTCAGAAATTTCATCCTGAGCATACGTCAATCAACAGGCAAGATAGTAGCAAAAAGACGTTAATATCAGCCATGTAAAGTTCTAGTTCTTGCACGGTGTCCTCTTGTGAAGGGGCATGTTGCTGGCTGTCTTGGTGGCACACGCACCCTGTTGTTATTCAGCCGGCGGCAACCATTTGTCCATTCAGAGTGTAGAGTACCCGTGGGAATTGCTCAAAGAGCGCTAATGACTTTTGAAGACCAGGGCGTTAGAGCTCTGTCCATGGTGCGCACCACGTCTGCCTGTGGACTTCTGCAGCGATCTTTGCCTCAAAAGCTGGGAGATCACAGCGAAAGTCGACCTAGTATTTGGCAATACGAGGTCTCCTGTTTCGTTCTGGTTGTGAGTATCATAGATCTTGGCATCTTCACAGCATAAATGCTAGCTCAGGCTGATTTATGTAGCCTTCGGTACAGCTGCTGCGACAGTGGAAAGGAAGGCCAGTGGCCGTTCGCACAAAGTCATGTATCGTTTCTTTCCGGCTTGGATGGCTTTCTTTTCACCCAGCAGGATATCCAGTGGCGCAAAGGATCCCTAGCAAATAGAACTGCTTGATCGATCCATGCGAGCCGTGGTAGCGGGTTTTCGGCTGCTCATTCACAAGATTCTTCAGCCCATGACCTCTCGCCTAGCCATGTTGTGCCCCCCTTCGATGGTGCCCATTGTTGGGTCCCAGATCTACCAGCACTCTGCGAAGTGTTGATTTGACTAAATAAATATTCTCCATGTGCTTGGTCGTGCAATGCTCTGTAAGTGGAATCATGTTGCCGGCGTACTTGTCATATGCGAAGCTGAGTCGAACAATGCCATCTGGAAGCTGAGCGCCATTCATGGCATCCCACATATTGGTCGCTTTGAACACAAGAATATAAGCAGCTTTAATCTGAGTATTTGTAAACTAATACACTGTTAGGCCTTCAATGTATTATCGTTCATCTTAGTTGTCTCAACTCACAGTTTCCATGTCATCGCAGAAGGCGGCGACGACATCCGAGGGGTCGTCGACATTTGAGTCGAAACCGATGTCGTCAGAAGCGGTATTGAGATCATCTGTAGCTCTTTCAATGTATTTGAAGACTTCCTACTCGAATGTAAGGCGGGGTGATGTTGATTATGAGTATTCAGCGGCCACTCACGTTGATAGGCTGAGGGTCATCATGGCGAAGGGCTTGCTGTAACAAGACGCGCAATATGTTCTCAAAATCATGATTAATCGCGCTGACTTCATCAAAAATAGAATCAAGATCAAGGGCATATCCGACGAGAGGACCAGAGAAAATGAGGGTTGCAAAACCGAACACACTGAGCTGCATAATTGCTGATATGGGCAGAGTGTACAAAGAGTACGTTAGTTGTGGCGGCCGGAAATAAAATACAAGTTGAAGAAAACTGAATGTAAATTTGGTATCATTAATGGTGGGTAAAAGAGGGATATTGTATCAAAGAGTGAACATGCTGCGTTTGCGTAGATTTGCAAAGGCAGTCATTGGGACAGACCAGGCATGTGTGCTATTATAAGCAGTCGTTATAGTAAATAATGTGACCGTTAAACCCGTTTTGAAACGCTGCCAAGATAAAGCCCCTTGAGAATGGTGATACCGTCATGTTTTTAGTTAAACTCCCCAGACGTTAAACCCATCTGGGCTTGCAAGGCTCTCAAAGATGAGGCGCGCAGCCGAAGGGCAACATGATACGTGAAGTTGCCATGCCGTAAAGCGCATGACCTGGCTGTTCTCAAACCGAAAACATAAACTTGAAAGGCGCCATTGGCTTAAAGGAGTTAAAACTGCTATTAAAACATTGAAAAGTCTTTTCGCGGAGATCAGGGCAATTCACAAAGGCTTTGTGTCTCAGGTGATACGGGGAGGACTAGTGCCTCATCGCGGGGTCTTCACACGCAAAACAAAACTCGGCCATGCTTCACTCATGGTAACTAGTATCCGCCGCCGTCGCAGTTACGGTTCCCTTGAACTTGAGCGTTTCCGTGTCTCTGAGGAGGTCTCAAAACTGCCGTGCCTCGATGTCTTCTGCTGAGTAGCCGCGTGGTCCATGCAGTGGCCAGAATCTGGTTCTGGTGAGGCCAAGCTTGGATTGTGCGGTTAAACCTGCGCCTCTGGCGGGCGATCCTGCAGTCAGCGTATCACACAGAGTCCAGTTGGCTCGCCATGAAGGCCTCAAAATGGGTTGCATTTTCATCTCTGTGTTGCATTGAGTCTCGGTCATGTCAGAGGCTGGCTGAGCAGATCTAAAAAATGGCCGAGGGTCAGTTGCTCGCACCTTCCGTCTGGACCCTCGGGCCTAATGCTCCTCATGCTCAAATAGGTGGAGCTAAGCGCTGGGAGTCCCAAGCTCAAGTGGCTCACCCCCAGGTGCCGTCTATTATTGGGGCCGAGGACCGCACTTTCCTCCAATCACAGGGCTGGGACTGCTCCCAGTCAACATTGAATGTTGTCACCCACTGCAACCACCAACCACAATCGCCCATTCACACGCCCGTCCACACGCTGGGCCACCCCTTCACATCCTGGCCGAACAATCCTCATAGCACCAGACATCATCAATCCTGTCTTCGCCGACACGTTGCACCGGTATATCGAAGGCATTGCACCCGCTAATTCAACACTCTACCATTTCCAACAGTTTTTCACGTGGATTCTCTCCATCCTTCACGCCACGTCCGACCCGATGCTGTCCTCGAGTCTCCGCGAGCACTGTTAGTAGTTCACTCGAATTGTCCAAAAGTGAACTCTTCCTCTGCTCTCAAAGACGATCACTGGCGTTCGGGTCGCACAAATCGAAGCCAGTACTTTTGACGCCGCTCAATTGATTCGGCGCACTTCTTACTCGTCTCGAACCGTGACGCCCGGTATTCGCGATCAATCCGCCACATTGTCCGAGTCACAGGACGCAGCTACCGGGCCTTCTGTGTCCTCCAAGTTGAAGTTTGCTGAGCGAGTAGTGCATTCTGAGCACGAAGACCACAAGTTTTCACAAGATCACGGCGACGTTACGGCAGCCACTACGGAGAACGAAACTGAACAGTCCCCCCCGCCGCAATATCCCGCCTCGGAGGCGTCCTCTTCCTCTCGCCCTCCACCCTTCTCCTCGCTCTTTGCGCCGCTTATCGACACCGCCGGTGAATCGTCTAGCAAGGTTGTTGGCGCCGCATCAACAGAAGCCTGTGCATCTGGGTCTGTAGCTGCTCCTGCGTATTCCAGCTGCCCACCACTCGAATCGTCACCCTTCCAGCCTGACGGGACATCTTCAAGAGCTTTCTACGATCCCGTCGAGGAAACCAAACGAGCTCTTCCCCAGGATACCAAAACCGAGCCAAGTCGTAAGGGCGAAGACGCAGAACCACCTCCGGCGTACTCGGAGGGCGACAGTCCTCTTCACGCATTCACATACGTCATGTCGGCCGCAGGAGGCGCCGCGAGTATCATTACTCAGGTCCAACAAGGAGGGCCACCCATCAATGCGATTGGAGGTGAGGAATGATGTTATGTGTGAATTTCCAACATAATGTTGATTCTTTTTGTTTAGATGTCGGGGCTGACGAGACAATCACAATGGACCTTCGGTAAGTCATTGGTTCACCAAACACGCGCAAGGGAGGACCTAGGCTTTCACGCCGTGCTAACCGATGGCTACAGTGGTACCAGATTTGTCCTCTCACGAGACGAACTTCTGACACTGCCAGAGTTTGTTCTGCTGTCCTTGTTTCCAAATGGATTGTTTCCAGAGGGGCACATGAACGGTTTTGCTGAGAATGATGCCGTGCAAGTCGATGTGAGTGGCGTCGATCTAGCAGGAATTGCCACTGGGGCTGACCATCTCTACAGTATGATCCGGTGTCATTGCAGTATATGTTGGACTTTTTTAGAAACGTGGCCCAGACGATACCCGCTGAGTCTTCGCCTGGTGCATCGCAGGACGGAGATGCTATGTCTGTAGAACCCCTCGGGTCAAGAGACGATTCATCTAAGAGAGCAGGCATTATTGTTTTGAGGGAAGACCTGGATTTTTACGTTATCCCACCGCAAGCGAGTATTAGCCAGCCAGATATGATTGAGGTTAAGCGTGCGGCTGCCAAAGCATTGCAGCGACAAGATGGCATCTTTTCAGGATTAAAGCGCAGCGATGAACCTGGCACAACGGAAGCGCATCTCATCGAAATGCTGACAGCAGGGTAAGTGAATGACGAAACTGCGGTATATGCTTTGTCCATGGCTAACGAGTAGCCACTAGTGGGTTCAATCACGATGACACATGGGGCCATCGGGCTGGAGAGCCAAACAAGGCCGTCATTTGCAGTCTGGCATTGGCACGGCTGCGCAGCGATATTAGGGGAAACGACATGGGAACGAATGCCGTCGGCATGGCACAGAAACTGCTGCTCTTCTGGAGGAAACCTGCGAGAAGATGCTGGTGGGAAGGCGTCGAGTTGGACAATGTCGATGGCGTTCAAGGCAAGCTCAAAGTCTGGATTCGACGCGTTTGGACACTGGAGATGAGCGTGATTGGACTCCGCTGAGGTAATCGTGGCCGCAATTGGCGTTGAAACTGAGTTGTGGAAGAGCAAGGCCAACATGAAGAAGGCCTATACAAAGCATAGCACTTGTTTGTGTGGTTACTGTAGTCTGGTTTGATTACGTTTGCAGGCGTCATCCGGAGTGGTGCAAATTCTGAACCCGAGCAATTTGCATAATAGGGTTTATCTTTCTTTCACTCACTCACTCACTCTCTTTTGTTTCCTGTTTTTCTTGGGTTTTGCACCTTTCCCTTGCCGTTTTTTTTTTTTTTTTGTCATCAAGCAACATTTATGCAGATTCCCCTTTCTTTTCTTTTCTGTTATTTTTTTTATTGGACATTTAAGACTATTCAAGACGACGAAGACAAACTAGACGGCCGTCACTAAGAACAGGTTCATATAAAAGAGAATTGATGCAGTCATGGTTCTT